GCGCTGACTAAAGAGCACATGAACAATAGATTCATTTGAAACAATATTTTACAGACGTTTGACGATCAATATGAACTGAAGCATTATGCTGTACCAATCTGTTAATGCTCTTAATGGTCTTCTCATTCCGTTTGCACACTATACCGAGTCGATAGAGTAAAGTGATGATTACAGGGACACTTGCAGCATATTTGAAAAACACGGATCCCCACCACTCTTTCAAAGCTGAATTGTTTCCTCTGAACCGAGAACAGATGCATTTGTTTGCACTCCTCTTCCCCTCGCATCTACTTCAGCTCTCTGACCTGGGCACGTTCACTGTATCCCCTTCATGGCATGCGTGCTTCAAGCAGAAAGCAACACTTCCAACTCCCATGCATTAGATCATTTCAAACCACAGGGTGCAGGGTAAAAAAACTACCAACCTCCCAAACTTCTTCACTAGGAGTCCACGGCGGCTGGGCGGTGGGCACTGATCAATCGCTGCCTCCACTGGGTCTAATCTCAACTTCAACCCTCCAGAGGCAAAACGCTTCTGAAGCCCCAAATCTGGTGGCCGGGAAGTTTATATCTTACTCTCTGCTGTTTGCTATACACAGCCAGCTTCTATTTACTACCAAATAAAAGAAACACATGTATGTTTTGAGTGCAAACATTGCAGCTAGTTCTGTTCAGCCAAGCTCAAAACAGAGGATAGGAAGAACTGTGCATTTCTTGAATGGCAAACAAAGGCACAGATTTTGCACAGCGCGGTTAAAGCAGTCAACAGAAGCGGTACTAGAGTTGCTACAGATTAAGACATGAAGCAACTTTCTCTGAATTGCATAAACCATGAGGCCAAACAGCCCTGCTTCTGACCAGCGGCCAGAGATGATTTTCCAGAACGCCAAGTGATTGCTTTAAATCTTTTGAAGTACCTTCCTTGATTGTGCTTCTCAGAAACTTTCTCCCCTTGCCAAACAAGGTGCTTCCTCTAAGAAACGTGGCCCTGCTTCGGAAACCTTGTTGCTCGCCTTTATCATCTGCAAAGCGGATCAGCTGAGGGTTTCACTGCTTTCATCAACTGCAAAGCAGATCAGCTGCGGGTTTCACTGAGGGCTTGTCAGCCACTCGGCCCCATCGGGAAATGCTATTTTAAGGAAACATTTTGGTCCCTTTCAGGTCATAGCGACCTTGGGGTAAATGGCCGTGGGTGCGTAAAAGTTAGTTTAAAACGACTGTCGTGTAAAAAAGTCCAACTAGCAAAGAGGGGTCAGAGCAGAAATGCCTCTTGGCATCTGCTGAGGGGCTCCGATGACAGGGCAAGCTGCTCGCCAGCAAGGTGCGCTGCTGGCATCTCATGGCGATGGAGTAGTTTGAAGGGGAAGAGTGTGGTCAGCCTGCCCCGGCCTGGGACCTGCCTCCGGCCCTATGGCTGGGTCTCAGCTGGTCTCTTTGGAGCACAGAGCAGGGAGGGGCACAGGAAATGAAGACTTTAGGGCTTAAAAACTAATTTCGGGATCTAAGGAGATCTCCCAGACTTTTTCTGGGAACCGTGTGCGTCCATTGATGGTGCCACGAGTCTGGAGACTGTTACCTAAAGAAAAGCGCTCTTTGTTTGCATCGGGACCTGGTGAGCCCCCAAGGGGTGAAGCCCTGGCGGGGAGAAATACCTGCCCCGAGGCCTCCTGCGATTTACTGCGGAGGATTTTCCACGCTCAGTCCCTGCCCCTCTGCGCTGGCGGCAGGGATGCTGCTGCCCCGCGGGGGGATACAGGCAGCAGGTGGCCCAGGAGGAGGCAGGGGACGAGCTGTGCTTGTAACAAACTGGTCGTTTCTCGACTCGGGAAAGCCCGAGTCAGTCAAGAACCGTTTTCTAGGCACTGACCACAAATAAAGAAGTATTTTCTTGGCGTTTGATAACATCGTGCCACCGCGCTGTACCGTCCAAGGCCATATTTGCTATTACAACATTATTTTTAATGGGCTGCCAGAGACTTGTCCCGAAGTTAGTATTGCAAACAGCAAAAGGCATCACTCTGTTTGTAGCCTACACAGGGCACAACATATTTTGACTCCGAATTTCTGTTTATTTTCCAGCCAGGACCCGCGCCAGGGGGTTTTAGCCCAAACGGAAAGAAAATAAAGGACTATCTCCTCGCAGCGGTAGTTTTGCGAAATCCTGCCTGTACATACACATTGATTCGGGGCAATTTTCTATAAACTGAGAACGATCCTATCGGTAAAAGCCGGGGAGGGAGGGGGGTCATAATAATAGCCAGCTGCCAGCCGAGAGCAGGGGAGGAACCTGAATCCTCGAAGGGGAACTTTTAGGGCAGTTGTTGAGGAGGGAAGGCCAGGCAGGACCTTCTGCCATCCGGGCACAAAGCGGCTGCTGAAGCGCTGCAGACCTGCCGGCATCGGGGCGATCACAGGCAGAGCCCGTCCCGAGCGGCCCCTGGCTCCAGCAAAGCTGCTGTGGCTGCAGCCGCCCGGGGGTCCGCCCCGCGGCCAGGCGGGG